CGGGATTAGAGAAAATATCCCAGAGGGGAACAGCAAACCATTTTCCTTCCGGGAAAAAAAAACACCCCTTGCAGGAAGCCACCTTTCCTGGCCTGGTCTGCTGAAGGCAAAGCAGCTCGTGGATGGGAGACCACCAGGTGATCCTAAACTGTCATTCCACCCCCCCTCCCCTTTCAATGGTTTTGGTTCTCGCCGGCGCCGTACGTACCCAAAAGGGCCTGGAAGAGTTCGCTCTGGAAGATCCGCAGGAGTCTGTCCATCTTGGGCTGGGAATCCGGGTTCAACGCCGTCGGCGGCTGCTTCAGGCGCTGCAAAATGGCCGCCGCGTCTGAGTCGGTGAACGAGAAAGAGGAAGGCAGCAGTTAGGGATGAAAGAGGGGAGGCCTCTGCCCCTTGCAAAACAGACAGCCTTGGAGGAAGCCCAGGGGGTCCTCGGCTTGCGGCCATTCGCAGAGTGACCGTGCAACAGCACTGAAAACAGCAACCGGCCATTGGTCCTCGCACTTACGACGGTGTGCATAACACCCCTGTGATTCGGATGCTTGTGACGATTTCCATTTGCAAATTTTCCCTGTAGTCTTCGATGGGAAAAGCTGCCAGGAGGTCGTAAGTCCAGATCGCAGGACGTTCTCCATTTGTCCGGGATGGTATATAAGGCCTTGGGGGTTGGAGGGTTGGACTAGAAGACCTCCAAGGTCCCTTCCAGCCTCCGAGTCTAGGTCTCATTGATCCACCTCAGCCAAAAACAGCCTTAAAATTGGGGGCAGTTGTGAGGAGCCTCACTTAAGGACCGCCCAGCTTAACTGTTGATCTCCCAGTCTCAATTGTGGCCGTACAACGAGGACCACCTGTAAGCCGCAGCGGTATGGAAAGGCTGCCTTAGCCGCGCAAGACGGAGCGGGTGAGGAAGAATCTCAAGATGGCGTCGCCTTGATTCTCCTCAGTATGAGGAGAGAGAAATAAAATCAGCTTTCCTGCTTCTGCTACTAAACCTTGTTAAAAGAAGGTTCCCGTTGTTCTTAACAAGGTCTGTTTTTCCCTAAGACGGTCAACCTGAGCCTGGATCAATCCATCCATCAATCAGAAATAGAGCTGAAAGGGACCCCTGAGGTCCTCTAGCCCAACCCCCCGGATCAAGCAGGAGGCCTCACACATTTCGAGACAAGTGTTTGTCCAGCCTTCAAAACCTCCAATGATGACGACGTTGCACCCACAACCTCTGGTGGCAAGCCGTTCCACTGGCTATAATAGAATCATAGGGGCGAAAGGGACCCTCGAGGTCGTCTAGTCCAACCCCCGGCTCAAGCAGGAAACCCTAAACCCGCGCTGACGATCCTGTGGCACGCGTGCCGGAGGGTAGCATGCAGAGCCCATTCCACGGGCAGCCACGCCGTTGCCTGCTGCTCTTCTAGTTTCTGGCGCGCGTGCCGGTCTTCGTGGGCGCCGGAGGGCAAAAATGCCCTGAAAAATGCCCTGAAAAATGCCCTGAAAAATGCCAAAAAGACCAACCGTTTTCCGTGCCATTTTCCGGCCATTTCCGGCCCCAAAATCAGCCTGAAAACGGCTCCAAAAGGCCCTGAAAACCAGAGGTGGTTGCAAATCAGTTGCAAGAACTACCCGTTCTTGTGCGCGCGCTCGTGACGCTTCTGCGCGGGTGCGCATTGCCTCCCACTGCTGCCACAACCGCTTCTCTCAAACCGGGACGAACTGGGAACAACTCAACTCCGCTGAAAGAATCCTTTCGGACAAATGGTCATCCAATCTCTGCTTCAAAACCTCCCGTGATGGAAGCAACCCACCACTTCTGGTGGCGATGAGTCCCCCTGGTGAACTGTCCTCCCTTTTTAGGAAGTTTCTCCTGAATTCTCAGGTTGCTTCTCCGCTTGATTAGTTTCCATCCGCTGATTCTTCTTGTCCCGTCTTTCTGGTGCTTTGGGGAATCATTTTTTTCCCCCCCTTATTTTTATTCTTATTTTTTTGAAAACAAGAAGGAAAAAACGGAAAAAAGGGAGAGCTCAGCTGTTTGACCATTTAGAAGCTTTCTTGGGGTTGACTTGTCCACTGGGGGGCCTTCTGGGAACCAATAGGTGGGACCCCCACTCTTATAAGCTGGGATTCACAGCCCCTCCCTCTGTTTCTCCTTTCTGCCCCTAACTGGGCTTGAACCACATTGCTCGTCCTTTGGAAAGGGAGTTGAAACTGAGAAAGTTTTATATTTCTGCTTTGGGGTGAGTTTTTTTTCTGGTGATACTGGACGGCCCAAATCAAAATAATATAAAGATAATGTAAAAATAATAATATAAAGATAATATAAAAATACAAAAATAATAATATAGTCAATGAAAATATATAAAAATAATAATACAATCAGTTTCATTCTGCATTGACCTTCATTCGTGGTCAGAAAAACCCTCAACACACACAAACACACACACACACACACAGAGACACACAAAAACAACAGATGCCTCTCACACATGGGGCCGAGTCCAGATTCTTCCGAGTGTGTTTACTGGCTGAAAACCGAATTTGGGTTTTTTTAATTCACAGCAATTAAAAATACATTTTTTTTAGTATCAAAATAATAAGAGATGCAGAAATTGTGTTTAGCTATAAGTTGTAATGGGGAAGGGGCCTCCCTC